CAGCGGCGAGCCGGCAGGAGCAGCGGCGGGCCGGCAGGGTGCAGCGGCGGGCCGGCAGGAGCAGCGACGGGCCGGCAGGGTGCAGCGGCGGGCCGTAGAGTGCAGCGGCGGGGCCGTCGGCAGTAGAGGCGGAGCCGCGTCAGAGGAGGCGGCTTGGCCGCGTCAGGGGAGGCGGCGGGGCCGCGTCAATGGAGGCGGCGGGGCCGCGTCAGGGGAGGCGGCGGAGTCGCGTCAGGGGAGGCGGCGGGGCCTCGGCAGGGGAGGCGGCGGGGCCGCGTCAGGGGAGGCGGCGGGGCCGCGTCAAGGGAGGCGGCGGGGCCGCGTCAAGGGAGGCGGCAGGGCCGCGTCAGGGGAGGCGGCGGGGCCGCGTCAGGGGAAGCGGCGAGGCCGCGTCAAGGGAGGCGGCGGGGCCGCGTCAAGGGAGGCGGCGGGGCCGCGTTAAAGGAGGCGGCGGGGCCACGTCAGGGGAGGCGGCAAAGCCGCGTCAGAGGAGGCGGCGGGGCCGCGAGTGAAAAGGCGACCCGAGGGGTCGCTAAAAAAAAAGGGCGCGCCTCGGGGCGCGCGTCGGTGGGCCCAGACAACGGTCCTAAGGTAGGACCCGCTCTGATACCATGTGAAAGTAGGAAAACAGGAATGAGTGAACTATGAATGAAAGCAGTACAAATATGAAACCCTAACTGGGTTGTACCCCCTATGGGATACCCCACTACAGCCTACACAGCAGTATAAGCTATAGATATGTTCTGACATAGAGAACTGAAGGCATTAGAGGAACGCAACACTTGGAAGGTTGTTCCCGTAAGCGTGGCACGGAACAAAACCATCCTTACCGGGAAATGGGTCTTCCGCATCAAGACGAAAGCAGACGGCACGATCGAAAAATTCAAAGCACGCTGGGTGACAAAAGTTAGAAGAAGAAAGAGAGGTTGAACTAGCAAGAATGAGGATACAAATAGCAAACCCTAGAAGGGTTGTACTCGCTATAGAGCACCCCACTACAGGCTAGAACAATAAGATAATATTCTGACACACCCCCATAGCCAAAGTGGGGTGTAATCAGCAGAGAAGGCAAAGCAACACAAGCTCAGGGTGGATCACAATGTCACCACACATTCTGAGCACAAGTTCAAGAAGCAATAGTTCAAGTACACAATTATCTGCAAAGCTAGTGGTGGTCACAACGGGCAAGTGAGGAGGAGGAGTGAGAGCGAGAGGAGTTGGGAGGCGACGGCTGAAGCTGCAGACACACGGGCAACAGGAGGCACACTGGCACAGCGGCTACCGGGCGAAGCCCCCGGACTACTGGAGTAACTGGCCCCGCGGCTAAAGTAGCGGCAGACGAGCAACGGACCCACGGGCGGCTGGCACAGCTGGCTACGACTGGGCTACCGGGCGAAGCCCCCGGAATACAGGTGCTGCTGACGACACGACGGCAACCTCCACTCAACCTCCCGCACACAGTCCAACCCCCCTCATACACACCCACTGCTACACCGCTAGCTCCACTCCCATGCACCCCCCTTAAACCCTAAACCCAGTCTCCCACACAACCACCCCCCTCAGCGACAGCTGCAGCAGTGGGAGACGAAGGAGGAGGAGAAGGGGACGGCACGCACAAACGACACCCCCACAACCATCACCCCCATACCCGTCACCCCCATACCCTGAGTGTGCGGTAAGCGAGCTCAGGTGTGCGTGAAGCGTGCACAAGCTTACGGGAAGCGAACTCGGATGTGCGGTAATCGAACTCAGGTGTGCGGGGAGGGGGGCCGCAGGGTGACGCGCGGGTCGACGGGGACGGGTGCACGGGTCCCCAGGGGCGGCGCGCGGGTCGACGGGGCCGCCACGAAGGGCGACCGGAAGCCGCGCGCGGGTTGACGGGGCCGCCGCGAAGGGCGACGAGGAGCCGCACGCAGGTCGACGGGGACGGGCGTGCGGGTCGACGGAACGCGAAACCGCCGCGTGCGCCCAAGGTGCGCGGTGGGCAGAAAACCGCCACGCGTCCCGAGCGCATGGCGTGCAGAATACCGCCGCGCAAAGCAGGTAACCGTCGCGCGCCTCGAGGCGCACGGTGGGCAGAAAACCGCCGCACGCCCCGAGCGCGCGGTGGGCAGAAAACCGCCGCGCGCCTCGGGGCGCACGGCGGGCAGAAAACCGCCGTGCACCTCGGGGCGCAGGGCGGGAAGAAAAAATGCCGCACGCCACGGGGCGTGCGGCACAGAGAGTAGTAGTAGCAGTTGCAGCGGAAGCAACGAGGTGGTGAGCCCACCCAGAGGATCGATCCAAGGGGATCGACCTGCTCTGATAGCATGTCAAAAGTTAGAAGAAGAAAGAGAGGTTGAACTAGCAAGAATGAGGATACAAATAGCAAACCCTAGAAGGGTTGTACTCGCTATAGAGCACCCCACTACAGGCTAGAACAATAAGATAATATTCTGACACTGGGTCGTACGTGGATTCGACCAAGAGCAAGGACGAGACTTCACCGAGACCTTTGCTCCAGTCAGCCGCCACACGTCACTCCGAATTCTCCTCGCCATTGCCGCCATGAAGAAGAAGAAGTTACGGCAGATCGACGTCGCGAATGCCTTCCTCTACGCACCTGTGGATGCAGAAATCTACGTCGAGCTCCCGCACGGTTCCCACGGCGAACCCAACCGAATCTGTCAACTACTTAAGTCGCTCTACGGGATCAAGCAGGCACCGCGACTGTGGCAGCAGTACCTGCACGCCCGTCTCATCCGCATCGGCTTTAGTCAACTACCTCACGACCAAGGCATGTACCGCCTCACTAAGGGAAGCGACTACGTTCTCCTGATCGTCTACGTGGACGATCTCCTCTACATTGGGTCAACCGACGGCATCGCCACGTGGTTCGAAGGAGAGCTCCAGAAAGACCTCACGCTCACGGTCTCCTCCACCGTTACACAGTACCTCGGGCTCAACATCCGCGAAGAAGAAAACGCCATCTATCTAAGCGCCGAGAAATACGCCGACACCATCGCGAAACGCTTCAGCCTCACACCAAGCGTCATCTCCACGCCCTACCGCTACACATCAGGAACCGAGAAGGAACGAACTACTCTACTCAAGCCCGCCGGCATACGCGACTATCAGAAGAAGCTCGGATGCCTGCTATTCGCCGCCGTCACCTGCCGTCCTGACTTATCCTACTCCGCAAGTCAGCTCGCCACCTATCTCAAGAAGCCTGAAGCTGAACACCTGGCGGAACTTGATCGCGCTCTCCACTACTTCGTCAGCACCGCGACGATCGGGCTAACCTACCACAAGAGCGCAGCTACACCGACTAAGCTAATCGGCTACGTCGACGCCGATCACGCCGGCGACACCGACAACAGGCGCTCACGCACCGGCTATGTCTACCGCCTTGAGCCTATCGGTCCTATCTCCTGGCAGTCGAGCAAGCAGGAGTTAATCGCACTATCTTCAGCAGAAGCAGAATATATTGCACTCTGCTCAGCCACCAAGGAGGGACTTTACCTTCGCGAACTACTGGAAGAAGCAAAGCTAGCCGAGTTACCCAGCTTCACCGTGTTCTGCGACAACCAGTCAGCAATTCGCATCGCCAACAAAAACGGCTTCGCAAACAGGACGAAGCACATCGCCCTGCGCTATTTCTTCGTGAAGGACGAGATAGGAAAAGGGAAACTCGATCTGTCATACTGTCCAACATCCGAGATGGCAGCCGATTACTTGACCAAGAAACTCGGCAAGCAGAAGTTCGAATACTGCATGATGCTGACTGGACAAGGCCACGTCACCAGCAGTAACACTCCAGAAGCGAAGGGGAGTGTTGGAAACAATAAGTCCTAAGTGCGCTTCTGTCGTATCAAAATCCAAGGTACCAAGCGAAGCAGTCCCAATCGAAGCATCGAGTCAACCTCGGAGGTTAGGGTAACCGCCTGGAGGTCACGAGAAAGTCAAAGGTCGCTGACCTTTGACTCGACAATTACAGCGCGACAGTTAAGGACACACAACTGACTCGTTACAGAGCAGTTGCCCGAGTCGCGCTATATCGAACCGCAACAGCAATACAGTTATCTATCTATTCCCTGTACTCTTATATAAATCCTTGTATTTGCTTGTTTAATTCAATCAACTTTGCTCTCACACACCAGTGCAAGGTCGGTTCAAATTCTTCACTAAACGCTTCCGCTATTACAACTACTTCACCTAGAGTTATCCCTTGCAAAGATCCTAAGGGGCTATCTCAGCCCAACAACCGCTACACTTGCTTAACTCGTACACACCGACAGATGTCTTATAACCAGGAACACCCATCTATAAGATACACCCGTTTTAAAGACACCCCCTGTCTTAAATTTGACACTGACTTATATCTGGGCGATGACGGGTATGCTGGAAAAAAACAATTGAAACATCCAGATCAAAATCTTATGCTACATTAAATGTATGTACAAACAAAACCCTCGGTTGTGTGGTAAAGCGTAGTATCTTATATGCTTGTGCTTTTAACGAATTTTATTTGGGGTTCTTGAATCAACGGTATGTCCATTACTATTACAAAACATAATGTATAAGTTCCATGCCTACATATTTTGTTATCGCGTCACATATTTCCTTCGATTACTAAGGTGTACAGACCTCGGAGTTTGTGAGAGGATTCAATCGATCCGGAATTCAGCTTACGGCCAATCAAAATGCGTGGAAAGCGGAACTCACGCGATGTGTTTTGTTTGAACGGTTGCGATTGTCGTCGATCATTTGGCTGTTTTCGGAACTTCGGTGTTTCAAATCACACCGCGTGCGGTTGGCGGGGAAGCGAAGCTACAGCATTGCAGCATTACTCAATGGAGGCCTCACTGCCTTCAAAAAGACGCTTTGATCCATTCATTTCTTCATCCAGTTTTCTCGCTCAAGCACTCGACTCTCTCTCGCATCTTTTCCGGCTCTCAGAACTTGCTCTCTAGCTCTTCCACGTTCGTTGTGATCCGTTTCGGCCTCATTGTTTCAAAGAAATGGCTCGTACCAAGCAGACCGCTCGTAAGTCAACAGGAGGTAAGGCTCCTCGCAAGCAACTCGCCACCAAGGCTGCCAGGAAGTCAGCTCCCGCCACTGGCGGCGTGAAGAAACCTCACCGCTACCGTCCCGGAACCGTGGCGCTTCGTGAGATCCGCAAGTACCAGAAGTCGACGGAGCTTTTGATTCGCAAGCTCCCCTTCCAGCGGCTAGTGCGTGAAATTGCTCAGGACTTCAAGACAGACCTGAGGTTTCAGAGTTCCGCGGTGATGGCTCTGCAGGAGGCAGCTGAGGCTTACCTTGTTGGTCTGTTTGAAGACACCAACCTGTGCGCCATCCACGCGAAACGTGTCACAATCATGCCTAAGGATATTCAACTCGCTAGGCGTATTCGCGGCGAGCGTGCTTAGGTTCTCTTTTAGTTTGAAAAGAATTACCTTCCATTGTAAATGTTTACGCGTATTGAATCATTATCCCCTTCTCATGGTTTCCGTCTTTAGAGGTGCTTATGGTCGACGTAGACTCGACAGTGTGTTTGCAGCCGTTGAATAATAACATTATCCCTCCGCTTTTGGAGGTGCTTATGGCGTAGACTCGCAATGAGTCTGCAGTCGTTGAACAGGTAAACAACGTTGTTTCGACAGGGAGTTAAAACCCGCGGGCCAAGAACTTCAACCTTAGGAAGGTTGATTGGGTTCAGGAATAGCGGTAGGCCCGCGAACACAGGAAGTGTCGAAAATAACAAACGATGTTCGCGGACCAGCTTATCTAGTGGAAACCCGTGTGGGGTTCTCGTCACTCCGTGCAAGTACCAAAACCCAATCGACCCAGCTAAACATTGCAAACTCCAAGAAAGAGACGGAGAAGTACACAACCGCGCTCGTCACCTGTGGCTGCGACATTGATGCCATCGTAGCACTTCTCTGCCTCGATGTGCAGGTGCGTTCTGACCACGGCGCGAGATCCTTAGCGCACATACTTTATCGGGAATGACCGCGATCCTAGTTTCCTCTTGCCAAGCTCTTGTGACTAAATAATACCCCACCGTCCTCCACCTCTCCCACTGCCCCCTTCTTACCATTGGCTTCTCACCCCCCTCATGCTCATCCTCACCGCCCTCCACCAGGCTCTCTCACAAGCAGCAGTATCCCTCACACACCACCACCTCTCTACTGCTGCTGACCCTGACGCCCTTGTGTTACACCTCGCCCACTCCTGTCCCCACACGGTATGGAAGCTCCTCACCACTCTCCATCGCACTCTACTCCCCCTCCACGCACTCACAACCTGCCCTGCGAGCTGAAGTGGTTACGAGCAGCAGTAACACCCTCACACACCTTGATCTCTCCGGCGAACTCTGTCTCCCCTGCTCATGCTCACCTCCCCGGGTCACTCTGTTTCACCGCACGCTTCCAACCCCTTCCCGTCCCCCCTGCCATTAACCCCTCTCTCGTTCCCAATTCCTTCCCCGACATCCACCCGCCCCAGCCCCCTCCCCCCCGCGTCCAGTCCCCCACTGCCCCCCATTTCTCCCCTTGCAACACCCCACTCTCCCTCGCCCTTTTCCCACACAGTAATCTTCCCTGGTCCCCCGCTCCCATTTCCTTCCCCGACACCCACCCGTGAGGGGTTGAAATGTTCCACCTGTCCCCCAATCCCACCCGTCCATTCCCCCACTCCTCCCCGTCCAATACCCCACTCTCCCTCACCCTTTTCCCACACAGTAATCCTCCCTTTCACCAACGCCAACCCTCCGCTTCCCCCACGCACCTCCCTTTCCCACACTGCTGCCCTGTCTTTCCCCAACTAACACCCCCCCTTTCCCCCAATCCTACCCCCCCTCTCCCCCGCTCCTACCCTCTCTTTCCCCCACTCCACCTCGTCCCTCCCCGCACTCCCCCGGGCCTCTCCCCCACTTCCCCCCGTCCAATCCCCAACTTCCCCTCTGAAACTTTCCCCACTCCTCCAGGGCCACACCGCCTTTTCGACCGTGCATGCCCTAAGCTCCCAACACGCCTCTTCGTGCGAACCATGTCATCGTCTCTCCCCCTCATCCTTTCCCCCACTCCCCCCGGGCCTTTCCCCCACACCCCACCTGTCCATGCCCCCACTCCCCCCCGTCCTTTCCCCCACTCTTCCTCGCCCTTTCCTTACAATAATCCTCCCTTTTCCCCATGCCAACCCTCCTTTTCCCCCTGTACTCACCCATCTCTCCCCCTGTTTACTCTCTATTCCCCTTCGTTCAACCTTTTTCCACCCCCAAGTCCTCTCACTTCCCCTGTTCGCACCCCTCGTTAGCCCTTGCTTACTTGCTTTCTCCTTTGCTCACCCCCTTTTCCACCCTGCTCACTCTCTCTCCCCTTTTGCTCACCCCCTTCTCCACCCTGCTCACTCTCTTTCCCCTTTTGCTCACCCCCTTCTCCACCCTGCTAACTCCCTTTCCCCCTTTGCTCACCCCCTTCTCCACCCTGCTAACTCCCTTTCCCCCTTTGCTCACCCCTCTGCCTTGTCCACTCCTCCCATACATGCCCTTCTGTACCTCCACCTCCACCCCTCGCTTTTTCTGCCATATCCCCTCTTCCCCTGTTCCATCACAGAACCATGCTTGTACAGGTGCCCAGCACCATGGGTCGTGGCCTGACAGGAGTGGATTGAAATGTTCCACCTCCTAGCTTTGTGCATGTGCCTTAGTCCACTCTTGGAAACCTCTTTGGAAATATACGGTAGCTTGCTTTGTTGCACTTCCTTGTAATGGTCATGTGCATTTCTGCTCCAAAACACAAAGCTGTGCATTATGAGAAGCATCCAACATCAATATATGACAGCTATTTGTCATACGGTACCACTATCATCAAACAACAAACACATCACAACTGGATGCATGGCAGACCTGCACACACACGGACCACAACTCGGATGTGTCAAAGTTGAAGCGGCGGGGAAGGATACAAAACAACGACAATGGAAGGGCAACAGCGGTAGGGAACAAGGAATGCACGGAGGGAGAAAATGAGCAAGGGGGACACAGAGGAAGGGCGGAAGGGGGGGGGAGATGAAGAGTGGTTGTAAGGGGGGAGAGAGCGGGGAAAGGCACTGAGCCAGAGAATTGGGAGCGGGAATAGATGAAGAAAGGAAGGGGGTGGGAGAGGACGACGTTGGGTAGATGGGTGGAAGGGAGGGAGGAAGGAAAAAGGGGGAGGATGGGAGGATGAGAGGAAGGGAGTAGGAGGGTGGGAGATGGGAAGGGGAAGGGGGACAGGATCGAGAGAGGATGAGGAGATGGGAGAATGGCAGGAAGGGGACGGGAGAAAGGGAGGGAGGACGGCGCATCTACCCTGTCGATGCATCTACCCATACCCAAGCTACCCCCCTGTAGATGCATCTCCCCATACCCAAGCAACCCTCCTGTCGATGCATCTCCCCATCCCCAAGCAACCCCCCTGTCGATGCATCTCCCCATCCCCAAGCAACCCCCCTGTCGATGCATCTCCCCATACCCAAGCAACCCTCCTATCGATGCATCTCCCCATCCCCAAGCAACCCCCCTGTCGATGCATCGGTACCATACCAAAGCAACCCCCCTGTCGATGCATCTCCCCATACCCAAGCTACCCCCCTGTCGATGCATCTCCCCATACCCAAGCTACCCCCCTGTCGATGCATCTCCCCATGAGAGAGGTGGAGGGTGAGAGAGGCGGAGGGTGAGAGAGGCGGAGGGTGAGAGAAGCGGAGGATGAGAGAGGCGGAGGGTGAGAGAAGCGGAGGGTGAGAGAGGCGCAGGTGAGAGAGGCGGAGGGTGAGAGAAGCGGAGGGTGAGAGAAGCGGAGGGTGAGAGAGGCGGAGGGTGAGAGAGGCGGAGGGTGAGAGAGGCGGAGGGTGAGAGAAGCGGAGGGTGAGAGAGGCGGAGGGTGAGAGAAGCGGAGGGTGAGAGAGGCGGAGGGTGAGAGAAGCGGAGGATGAGAGAGGCGGAGGATGAGAGAGGCGGAGGGTGAGAGAAGCGGAGGGTGAGAGAGGCGGAGGGTGAGAGAGGCGGAGGGTGAGAGAGGCGGAGGGTGCGAGAGGCGGAGCGTGAGAGAGGCGGAGCGTGAGAGAGGCGGAGCGTGAGAGAGGCGGAGGTGAGCCAGGTGCTTTCGCCTGCCCACGCGATCCACCCTGCCCACGCGACCGGTTTGTAGGTCGCATTGCCTTTGCAGGGCAAATCGTGACCTAATGTCGCCGTCGCGTTGCCCTGCCGGCCAAAACGTGACCTAATGTCGCCGTCGCGTTGCCCTGCAGGGCAAATCGTGACCTAATGTCGCCGTTGTGTTGCCCTGCAATGCAAATCGTGACCTAAATGTGACATCGCATAGCTCTGCAGGTCGAATCGTGGCCATCGGTCTGCTAACGTCACAACGCACAACTACATTTCCGGTAATGTCGGTTTTCGCGACTTTAGCTCTCTCATACCTTTTGTAATTCGTGATTAGCGCACACCCGCTTGTCGGTATGTTGGCTAGTTGGCGGGCTACGCGGGTCTAATAGTGGGTCCTAGAACTCGCGAATAATCAGTAGCGTTTTGGGGACAAGTTTCTCTTGCATGTGTGCCTCATGTTTACGCAGGTTGGTGTTGGGCGATGTGCCGTGCGATGAAACCCAACTGGGCATTTGTCGCTGCTACAGTGTTCTAGTTTGGCGAATGTTCAAGACCAGGTTTGTTATGAATGAACTTGCAGAGTGCGCAGTAAAACGAATATCGAGAATGATTGAGTACTGAATTCCTGAATTACTGAATGGAAGTGATGAGGCCTAAATAGGGGAAGTCCTAGCAAGGCGGGGAGGTTGGGCGAGGATGGCTCGGTGATGGATGCGATTGGTGCGGAGGCGACTCGGGGGTGGTTCGGTGCGACGAAATAGGAAGGACAGGTTCGTCGCGTGACCCTCGGGATGACCTCGCTAACGAGTGCCTCAGTAAGGATTCTGTAAATCCTTACACTCTCCCACCTTCTAAATAAGGCAGTCCTGTACTGAAAACGGACCCCACACTAGCAAGGATGCCGTAGATCTCCCCTTCAGCTGAATCCGACGGCCGAAATGCCTTCGAAAATATTTTTGAAAAGGCTGGAAGGTAGGCCGTTGATGTAGTCCGATTTCGATCTGACGGTCGACGATGAGCTGACTCAAATTGAAGTAGAAGTTGGAATGTGGGCCGTTGATCGAGTAATTGCGAATCTGACGGTCGAGGCAGATGCGATTTTGGAGGGAACAGACTGACGCGAAATTCAATCGCGATCAATCTGGAGCCGTCGATATTGTCGGTGTAATCGCGATCGTCCGTCGTGCTGACGCAACTTGACAAAGGTCAAGAAGAAAGCCGAGAAAACGCCAAGGAAAGAAACAGTGCCGCGCACTTTCTCCCCCCTCTCCAGGAAAACACACCAGAAAATGTCACTGCTGCGCCGAGAAGAAAACCACCAAAACCAGGTGTTAACTCCCAATGAAACGAGTGGTAAACCAGATGAGATTGCGTCGGTGTCGAAACTCGATGACGAAACCAGGTGCTAAGTGCAAAAGGGCGAACCCGAAGATGTATACCAGAAAACTGAAACTAAAATTATCGAATACTCGAACTGAACCGTTTTGTCTTCACGTCACCAGAATCAGCCGATATCTTCAGCAGTTGCAGCTGGCAGCTCCTGACGTGGTTGAGAATTAATGCAGTTGTCGTGGGCGGGTCGAGTGGTGGGTTTGTCGTTAGTAGAGTCGGTATGGGGCCGTCCTGAAATTCTCTGGCCGTGAAATCAGGGGTGGTTCGAAATTGTCGTCGGTGAAGGCGATTCGTCGTAAAGTCAAATACGAGCGTCGGCGAAATTCGTTGAAGCAGTAACCGAAATCGAATGTCACTCCGAAATTGATGTCGAGCACGATCTAGGGTCAGATGATGTCAGCACCTCCAGCGGTTTTGTCCAGACTCGCCGAGCCATTTGTCATAGTGCGCCGAGGGCTCCTGGGCAGGGATGAAAAAATGCAGCTGTCTCTCCCACCCCTTCACTGTTGATGCCGCCTTCTTCAGTTCGTCGTAAGTCGTTCGTACCCCTGAAAACTCAGTGTAGCTCACGCGTTATTTCCCAACGTACTTTTCGCGCGCGTTTAACCAAACGCTGAATGCTCCTCCGAAGTTGTCGGCGCTCCTTGCCGTAAAACCTGTAAGTCTCCACGTAAACACTCCGAAATTGTCACTCGAATCAGACCCCGTAAATCCGCATTTGCAGTTGCAGTTCGCCTCCGAAAATCTCGGACGTGCTATAGCCGCCCACTCGGTCACCATCAGTTTCCGTCGGCTACCCGACCCCAGCATGTGGGTTCAATCGAGAACCGGGGACTGCCCTGGGTTATTCCGAGACCGAATTTCACGGAACCTAGTGGCATCAACGCCGTTGACTTCGTAGTCGAAAACTTCTCCCGTCGATGTCGCTTAACAAAAATTCTTGTTTCTCCCACCAGCGCTTTGCAGATGTTTCACCACATCGCTCGTCGCCGGTCGATAGATCCCGAAGCTACGACTGCTCCCACGCTCCCCTTATTTTGAAGAATTTCCCGAGGTGTGCGTTTAAACACCGGGGGTCCTAGGTCTCCTTGCCGTTGTGTTTCTTGCCAGGCAACTTCGAAAAGTGCCCTTCAGGCGAAGTCCCCCAACGACTCAACCGCACTCCAAGAAGCGAAGAAATACCCGCAACTTCATATTTTTTTGGTCGTTTCACCCCCCGACAATTCCGCTTCCCGCCGTTCACCCAGCGTCCGCATTTTTCGGATGGGGTATAGTCGTTGTTGCCGGCGCGAACCTCGGCCACGGTGGAGGGGCCAAAACTATCGGAGTCGGGGACCCTTAATTAAAAGGAACAGTCGCCCAACCGTTTTGCAGCCCACCGCAACCGTCGCGCCACTAAAACTCCACAGCTCCCGGTCCCTGCTTTGCCGCTGCGTCGTCACCTCGTGTAGACGCCCGGGTCAGGAGAAACCAGCGAACTGCACCATTGTTGTCATGCGGCGCCCCGATTTTTTCGCGTGATGTTTCACCCAGTCCGCTTTTGTCGGAGTAGAACAGTGCCGCAACTCCACCTTTTTTTGGTTTTTCTGTACAGCTGTTGAACGAGCACCAATCCAGGTACCTTTAACCAGCACAGGGTAGGCCCGTGTTCACCCCCGTTGTTCGGCCAAGTAAGTTGACTGCATGAGTCAGAACTAGAAACTTGGTGGGGATGGTGAGGTTCGGGCGACGGAAGGTCACAGATCGTTCACACCGGCTTTTAACCTGCCCTTCACGCCGTTCTTCAACCCCCGCTTAGCCGTCGAGTAGTTTCTTCTCGTGTGTCCCGGCGACCTGTACCACTCTCCTCCGTAATTGTCGGCGTGGTACCTTGAACACCGTTTAATCGTGGGCTGTTGAGGCTGTCCCCGAAAATGACTTCCTTACAGGGAATCCACTCTCGAAATTGCTGGCCAGCAGTCAACAGTACCAGGCACGCAGCGTCATCCGAGTGTTCTTCGGGGTGTATGGGCCCGAATTGCCCTCGCCGTCTGCGTCCCACTCCTCCTGAGTGCGATTTAGCCACTCCGTTTTCTGTTGCAACCCGTAAGTGTCGGCGGGTCTGAAGTTCCCGTCTGTCCACGTGCACTCCTGCCGAAATATTCGATGACGCGCCCGCCATGCAGTAAAAGCCGCTGCACTTCAGGTCGGGCGGGGCGACAGTTGACCCCGCAATTCGGGCAATTCGCGTGTCGTCTCTCCTCGTCCACCGATATTTTCTGACGCAAAACTCCATTTGCGCCTGGCGAGTTCCCCAGCCGAATTTTTCTCCACAGAAGCTCCGAAATTATCGCCACAGTCACGCACGTTCCTTGTCGCCAGCTGCCGAGCCACACTCCGTGAGTCACGCGCGCAAAATGACGACGAGCCACCGTCGTAACTTGCCGCTTCGGACGAACTCCGAAGTTGTCGTGCAGCTGTTGACCCAGGTCCGACGGCGTCAACTGCCACACACGTTGACGACTCCGCGAATTTCGTGCAGGTGCCGACGCAGGTCCGCTGACGCCAGCTGCCACACAAAACTTCCGAAATCGTCGGTAAATCGTAGCGGAAATTACTCACATAAACGTCGCGACAGCTACAGCTGCCCGTTGCCCGGGGGGAGGGAGGCCACGGTCGATCGCGACCGTTCGAGGCAAGGATCTGGCGGTGCCTAAGGGGTACCCGTAAAACCATGGCCGCGAATAACAACTAACCCGTTCCCTTGGCCGGCCTAGGCAACTCCTGGACCCCAAGACATCATTCCTCGTCCCCCCCTCCGAGGAGTACTACACTCTAAAAAGCGGGGTAGGCTAGGAAAGTAGCTCTGATACCAGGTGTTATGAATGAACTTGCAGAGTGCGCAGCAAGCCCTCAGATTCGTTTTTTGCCTGTCTGATTCATCAGACTAGTACACAATTTTAGTCTGAAACCCTCAGAGTTGGTAAAAAAAAGGCATGTTTCATCAGAAATGTATTCAATGCTTCATCTGATACTGAAACATACTAGACTAAGGGGATTTTTGGGAGACATGCTCTGAGAGGGCGAATTTCTGTGTCAGGGCGAATCTTGTGGTGTGAAAGGGCGAATCTCCAATGTCAGGTGAAATTTATTGGTGATTAGTCGAAATCATTGTGCTCTGACAGCGCAAATCCGATGTGTCAGAGCGATTTTGATGTGATTGGGCGAAAATCTTGTGCTGTAAGGCGCAGATTGCAGTTTCAAGCCGATTTTGCATTGACCTGTGAAGTTCGAACCGAATCACCAGTCAAGAACACACGCAGAAAATAGAATCGGTACGCGTTTGTACTGTGAGTGATCAGAGCACACTCCCGGAAAACTCTGAAACGTCAGAGTTAGCTCTAAAATTTCTCTGAAAATTACAGAGTTGGGGCCCAAAAATCTCTGATTTTAACAGACCTCACTTAAAAAAAAAAACTGAATTCTCAGAGTTTTTCATGCAAATCAGAGAAATTTCTCTGACTTCGGGGGGCCTGGTGCGCAGTAAAACGAATATCGAGAATGATTGAGTACTGAATTACTGAATGGAATTGACGAGGCCTAAATAGGGGAAGTCCTAGCAAGGCGGGGAGGTTGGGCGAGGATGGCTCGGTGATGGATGCGATTGGTGCGGAGGCGACTCGGGGGTGGTTCGGTGAGACGAAATAGAAAGGACAGGTTCGTCGCGTGACCCTCGGGATGGCCTCGGTAACGAGTGTCTCAGTAAGGATTCTGTAAATCCTTTCAAGGTTTGTGTTTCAAAAGTTTGCCTCCGCTGGAAACTGGGTAACACCCAACCAACCTTAGAAAGCTTGAACCAGTTTCATGCTTCTTGACCCTCCGGTTTTAACAGTCCTTGGAAGTCGTTGAATTGTAAACAAGGCTACATCCTCTGTTAGCATGTTTACATTTGGTGGACACCAGTGTCATCAACAAACAAAACGAAATACATTTCTCAAAACTAGTCACATATGTACAAGGTTCTATCCAGCATTGCTAAAGACACATTCATCCAGTCACTATTTACATTCTAGCTATCACAACAACGGCCAGTCTGTTCCTCTACTCACCGTCACGTCTGCGTCTACCTCCAACAGCTTCTGGCAGCATCCGCGCTAGAGGTGAAGGCAACCAAGTAGGCTCAGGCTTGGGCGCAAATGGGTTCCACCCCCCATTCCCCTCTCCATGGGGCACAGATATATTTCCCAAGGATCCATCACCCGTCCTGCCACTATCTCCACCACCTCCTCCACTCGCAGCAGTGAAACTTCCTCCGCGAGCAGAGCCAGCCTTACTACTATCCCCACCACCAGCCCGACTACCACCCGCCCTGCTACTCCCCCCTGGAGCAGGAGTAGCAGCATTGCTGCGGCTGTCCTGATCTAACCTGCTGCTCATCCCTCCTCCACTGCTCCCATTATCCTCTGAGCCATCCTTCTCTTTCCTCCCACCCCATCCGAACAGCTTCAAGGGCGATGGAGATCCCCCCCTGGCAGCATACCTTGGGGTTGCACCTCCACGTGGAGCATGACCAGTGGCCTGGTCTGCAGCGTCGGCAGAGTCAGAACCAATTTCTTTCGCAGATTGCAGCAGAGAAGGCATGAAGGGGATGGAGATGGAGCGAGAGGCTAGGTACATCACAAACAGGGAGGAGATGAAGGAGAGAGGCTGCAGCGACCAGTGTACTTCTCCTAGTAACTGCAACATGAAACACACAGGAAAACGAAAATCTAAGAATATACGAACAGGAAAAACGACAATCATGGATACAAACTCTCAAGATCAAATACTCACCTCCCACTTATTCTGCAGGCCCTTGCAGGAGCGCAGCCCCACTGGCTGCACATGCTCGGGATGCACGAGCCAGTGGCGGGACGAGTTCCACAGCTCACCCGGCAGATGCACTGTCAGAAACCCATTTGGGTGCACTGTCGCAATACTGTCAGGCATTGGGGGGGGGGCATGCGCAGAAGTATGATATATTGGTGAACCTCTGAAGAAATATCAAGAGGGAAGAGGAAAAAGAGGAACAAACGAGCACAGAATGTGAAGGGCATCGTTACCGAGCAGCAGCGACTCGCTTCCGGCCATTCCTCTTGCCAGCATGACCCTCCTCTCCCGGATAGTACCAGAGATACGCCCACCCATACAGGGGCACAACTCCCTCCCTCAGCTGCACCATCTGCCCCACTCTGTACCCATCCACACGCCTCACATCCCCTTTTGCCGGCTCCAACCCTCCTATCACCCCCTCTCCGCCTGCCACGGCTACTTCTACTGCCTCCCCCACCACCCGTTTCACCACCCCCAGAGGCGGGAGGGTCTCTGGGGAAACATCCACCAGAAAGGACGGGTGGGCAAACGGTTGCACGACTCCGGTATTCTTGTAATCTGCAGTGGCATCAGCACGAGCTGCAGCGACACGTCTGGTGAAGGCGATGAGCGCAACTGCGTCTGGTGCAAGGATGTGCACCCAGTCCCCCACTGCAATGCCGTGAGTCACTCGCTCCGCTTCAGCTGGGTCCACTCGCCAGAGAGCGGTGGAGGGTGTGGGAGAGGAAGAGGAGGAGGAAGAGGAGGGAGAAGGCGTATCCACCCGCACGCCCAGCATACCATCGCTGCCGTCTACCGCTGTCACCACACCCTCACTGCTAGGGAAAAAAGAGGGGGGTGGGGGAAGGAGGAAAATTTAAGCAATGCAAAAAATATGAAAAAAAAAAGTGTGTTGTCTCTGTTGCAGTTTACCTGCTCCTGCTGTTTCCACGCCAGCCGAATCGTGGATTCCCCACTCCCCTCTTAATGCGCACGCGATCACCACATTGGAAAGGCTCCTGCACACAACGCACCACATCAAACACGAATATGAAGATGATGATAACCTCTGTTCCTGCAACATCAACCGCACACTCACCTCCACGATTCCCTGCACATTCTTGCATGGGTAAGCCACCAGGTCGCCAGGGCGCTTGTCACACAGCTGTACCGCCACCACTGCCTCTCCCACCCGCACTGCTGCCACCACTCCCACCCTCTGCTGCTGCTGCTTGTGGGGAGGGGTGGACGGTGACGCAGGCACATGCACCCAGTCACCTGGGAGGTACTGGCTCGTGGGACTGGAGGAGGAGAAAAGGGTGGGGTACAAAGAGGAAAAAATATTCAATGAATGCTGGTTAGAATGAGGGGGAGACAGTCTTTTCCTGTATAATAGGGAGCAAGAAACATCCTACTTCACATTTAAAGTGACAAAAGCCATGCGAAACCCATAGCTGACACCTCTTGTTAGGCAAAAGTACTGACCGGGTGAAGGCACGGAGCAGTGTGTGGAACGAGGGGCGCTTGTAAGGGTCGCTGTGGAAGCAGCGCAGCAGCACCGCCTCCAGCTCCAGTGGCAGCTGCTGCAGCGCTGCCAGATGCGCTGCCGACACACACGCCGGCAGGGAGGTGGGTGTCTTGGCAGGGGAGACAGCGGGAGAGGAGGAGGAGGAGGAGGGGGTGGAGGAGGGAGGGAAGTGCTTGCAGTGGTCTGCCATGCGCCTGTGGTGGCGGCAGTGGTGGCGGTTATGTGGCGCGTGGGCAGTGACAACGTCATGCATCTGCTCCAGTGTCATGTTGTTGCAGGGGGGCACACCTGCAGTGGGGGGGAAACGGAAGAAGAGAAGAGAGACTCATGGGGTACAGGGATGCGAATGAGGGAAGAGGATAGGCTGTGCGGGTGCGGAAGGAGGTAGGAGAAATCAGCCTATAATCACTCAAGGCAGGCAGGCAGGCAGGCAGGCAGGCAGGCAGGCAGGCAGGCAGGCAGGCAGGCAGGCAGGCAGGCAGGCAGGCAGGCAGGCAGGCAGGCAGGCAGGCAGGCAGGCAGGCAGGCAGGCAGGCAGGCAGGCAGGCAGGCAGGCAGGCAGGCAGGCAGGCAGGCAGGCAGGCAGGCAGGCAGGCAGGCAGGCAGGCAGGCAGGCAGGCAGGCAGGCAGGCAGGCAGGCAGGCAGGCAGGCAGGCAGGCAGGCAGGCAGGCAGGCAGGCAGGCAGGCAGGCAGGCAGGCAGGCAGGCAGGCAGGCAGGCAGGCAGGCAGGCAGGCAGGCAGGCAGGCAGGCAGGCAGGCAGGCAGGCAGGCAGGCAGGCAGGCAGGCAGGCAGGCAGGCAGGCAGGCAGGCAGGCAGGCAGGCAGGCAGGCAGGCAGGCAGGCAGGCAGGCAGGCAGGCAGGCAGGCAGGCAGGCAGGCAGGCAGGCAGGCAGGCAGGCAGGCAGGCAGGCAGGCAGGCAGGCAGGCAGGCAGGCAGGCAGGCAGGCAGGCAGGCAGGCAGGCAGGCAGGCAAGGCAGGCAGGCAGGCAGGGCAGGCAGGCAGGCAGGCAGGCAGGCAGGCAGGAGGCAGGCAGGCAGCAGGCAGCAGGCAGGCAGGCAGGCAGGCAGGCAGGCAGGCAGGCAGGCAGGCAGGCCAGGCAGGCAAGGCAGGCAAGGCAGGCAGGCAGGCAGGCAGGCAGGCAGGCAGGCAGGCAGGCAGGAAGGCAGGCAGGCAGGCAGGCAGGCAGGCAGCAGGCAGGCAGGCAGGCAGGCAGTGCACAGGCAGGCAGGCAGGCAGGCAGGCAGGCAGGCAGGCAGGCAGGCAGCAGGCAGGCAGGCAGAGGCAGGCAGGCAGGCAGGCAGGCAGGCAGGCAGGCAGGCAGGCAGGCAGGCAGGCAGGCAGGCAGGCAGGCAGGCAGGCAGGCAGGCAGGCAGGGCAGCAGGCAGGCAGGCAGGCAGGCAGGCAGGCAGGCAGGCAGGCAGGCGGCAGGCAGGCAGGCAGGCAGGCAGGCAGGCAGGCAGGCAGGCAGGCAGGCAGGCAGGCAGGCAGGCAGGCAGGCAGGCAGGCAGGCAGGCAGGCAGGCAGGCAGGCAGGCAGGCAGGCAGGCAGGCAGGCAGGCAGGCAGGCAGGCAGGCAGGCAGGCAGGCAGGGCAGGCAGGCAGGCAGGCAGGCAGGCAGGGCAGGCAGGCAGGCAGGCAGGCAGGCAGGCAGGCAGGCAGGCAGGGCAGGCAGGCAGGCAGGCAGGCAGGCAGGCAGGGCAGGCAGGCAGGCAGGCAGGCAGGCAGGCAGGCAGCAGGCAGGCAGGCAGGCAGGCAGGGCAGGCAGGCAGGCAGGCAGGCAGGCAGGCAGGCAGGCAGGCAGGCAGGCAGGCAGGCAGGCAGGCAGGCAGGCAGGCAGGCAGGCAGGCAGGCAGGCAGGCAGGCAGGCAGGCAGGCAGGCAGGCAGGCAGGCAGGCAGGCAGGTCAGGCAGGCAGGCAGGCAGGCAGGCGGCAGGCAGGGCAGGCAGGCAGGCAGGCAGGCAGGCAGGCAGGCAGGCAGGCAGGCAGGCAGGCAGGCAGGCAGGCAGGCAGGCAGGCAGGCAGGCAGGCAGGCAGGCAGGCAGGCAGGCAGGCAGGCAGGCAGGCAGGCAGGCAGGCAGGCAGGCAGGCAGGCAGGCAGGCAGGCAGGCAGGCAGGCAGGCAGGCAGGCAGGCAGGCAGGCAGGCAGGCAGGCAGGCAGGCAGGCAGGCAGGCAGGCAGGCAGGCAGGCAGGCAGGCAGGCAGGCAGGCAGGCAGGCAGGCAGGCAGGCAGGCAGGCAGGCAGGCAGGCAGGCAGGCAGGCAGGCAGGCAGGCAGGCAGGCAGGCAGGCAGGCAGGCAGGCAGGCAGGCAGGCAGGCAGGCAGGCAGGCAGGCAGGCAGGCAGAGGCAGGCAGGCAGGCAGGCAGGCAGGCAGGCAGGCAGGCAGGCAGGCAGGCAGGCAGGCAGGCAGGCAGGCAGGCAGGCAGGCAGGCAGGCAGGCAGGCAGGCAGGCAGGCAGGCAGGCAGGCAGGCAGGCAGGCAGGCAGGCAGGCAGGCAGGCAGGCAGGCAGGCAGGCAGGCAGGCAGGCAGGCAGGCAGGCAGGCAGGCAGGCAGGCAGGCAGGCAGGCAGGCAGGCAGGCAGGCAGGCAGGCAGGCAGGCAGGCAGGCAGGCAGGCAGGCAGGCAGGCAGGCAGGCAGGCAGGCAGGCAGGCAGGCAGGCAGGCAGGCAGGCAGGCAGGCAGGCAGGCAGGCAGGCAGGCAGGCAGGCAGGCAGGCAGGCAGGCAGGCAGGCAGGCAGGCAGGCAGGCAGGCAGGCAGGCAGGCAGGCAGGCAGGCAGGCAGGCAGGCAGGCAGGCAGGCAGGCAGGCAGGCAGGCAGGCAGGCAGGCAGGCAGGCAGGCAGGCAGGCAGGCAGGCAGGCAGGCAGGCAGGCAGGCTGGCAGGCAGGCAGTCCAAGGCACGACACACTAGAATCACTCTCAATCCAACCTTCCACCCTTTTACCCTTCCATCCACGAGACCATACCTGAGATCATGTGCAGGGCAGCGCACGCGAAGCCCCAGGCGTCAGTGCCCTCCAGTAGGGGCCCGTTCACTGCTGCCGCCCACTGCTCTGGTGCCATATACGCCGGCACTCCTGCCCACACGGGAGACGCGTTCGCTCCACCAGCTGCTGCTGCCAGCTCGGGGATTGGAGAGAACGGGTCCGCATGCATGTCTGCAGGAGGGCAGAGAGGGATGAGAGGAGGCAGGGCGGTAGGTCAAACAGGTGACGGACGGATCAAACAGGTGAAACAGGTACGGTGCAGTGGTCACTTGGAAAGAACTTTGCCTATGCGTGTGAGCCGTGCACAGCGTGCTGGTCCGTGTACACATGGGAACTTCAACCTCCTCGTTGACTTATCAGTTGACTCAAACGCCAACCTCCTCTAGAAGAAACGGCGAGTTTCAACTTGATAACCCTTCTCAGCTCACCTCCATTCTCGCGCACACACATTCTCTTCCCCACCACACCCCACACCACCTCATATCTCACCTGCGAGCGCCCATGGGAGGCCCGGTGGAGCAAGGAACACAGCATCTTCGAGGAAGGAAGGAAGGCAGGAGGAAGAAGTTTATTCCAGTTGACTAAAAAATAACCCACACACATTCTCACCCCACACACCCACACAGCACCACTTCTCATCTCACCTGCAAGCGCCCATGGGAGGCCCGGCGGGGCGAGGAAGACGGCATCATCCTCGTGGAAGGAGGGGAGGAGGAAGTTGGAAGGGCGTAGGTTCAGAGCCAGCACGCCCTGCTCGTGCAGCTGCTGCACCGCCCTGCAGACTGCTGCCCCGTACCTGTGACAGTGGACGGATGATAGGCACAGATGTGCACGCACACGGTTAAGAAAGCTAAACCACAGGAAAGGTGGTTACAGAACTTTTTAATTATGTCAGATATACACATCTGAGCAGAGTAGAATGAGCAAGAGTATTTCATGAGTAAATCTGAATGGAAATTCCACCTCCCAGCAGACATACCTGAGAAAGAGGTGAAACGGCAGGCGGTTTCCTGGCAGCTTCTGCATCATGTCAGCAATGGACTTGTCAAAGAGCGGCGACACCACTGCCACCTGCATGACACGAGGGGGATGAAGGTCCAGCCCACAGCACGCAGAGGAGAGACCATTGGAGAAGTGAGCAGCAGAGGAGAGACCATTGGAGAAGTGAGCAGCAGAGGAGAGACCATTGGAGAAGTGAGCAGCAGAGGAGAGATCATTGGAGAAGTGAGCAGCAGAGGAGAGACCATTGGAGAAGTGAGCAGCAGAGGAGAGACCATTGGAGAAGTGAGCAGCAGAGGAGAGACCATTGGAGAAGTGAGCAGCAGAGGAGAGACCATTGGAGAAGTGAGCAGCAGAGGAGAGACCATTGGAGAAGTGAGCAGCAGAGGAGAGACCATTGGAGAAGTGAGCAGCAGAGGAGAGACCATTGGAGAAGTGAGCAGCAGAGGAGAGACCATTGGAGAAGTGAGCAGCAGAGGAGAGACCATTGGAGAAGTGAGCAGCAGAGGAGAGACCATTGGAGAAGTGAGCAGCAGAGGAGAGACCATTGGAGAAGTGAGCAGCAGAGGAGAGACCATTGGAGAAGTGAGCAGCAGAGGAGAGACCATTGGAGAAGTGAGCAGCAGAGGAGAGACCATTGGAGAAGTGAGCAGCAGAGGAGAGACCATTGGAGAAGTGAGCAGCAGAGGAGAGACCATTGGAGAAGTGAGCAGCAGAGGAGAGACCATTGGAGAAGTGAGCAGCAGAGGAGAGACCATTGGAGAAGTGAGCAGCAGAGGAGAGACCATTGGAGAAGTGAGCAGCAGAGGAGAGACCATTGGAGAAGTGAGCAGCAGAGGAGAGACCATTGGAGAAGTGAGCAGCAGAGGAGAGACCATTGGAGAAGTGAGCAGCAGAGGAGAGACCATTGGAGAAGTGAGCAGCAGAGGAGAGACCATTGGAGAAGTGAGCAGCAGAGGAGAGACCATTGGAGAAGTGAGCAGCAGAGGAGAGACCATTGGAGAAGTGAGCAGCAGAGGAGAGACCATTGGAGAAGTGAGCAGCAGAGGAGAGACCATTGGAGAAGTGAGCAGCAGAGGAGAGACCATTGGAGAAGTGAGCAGCAGAGGAGAGACCATTGGAGAAGTGAGCAGCAGAGGAGAGACCATTGGAGAAGTGAGCAGCAGAGGAGAGACCATTGGAGAAGTGAGCAGCAGAGGAGAGACCATTGGAGAAGTGAGCAGCAGAGGAGAGACCATTGGAGAAGTGAGCAGCAGAGGAGAGACCATTGGAGAAGTGAGCAGCAGAGGAGAGACCATTGGAGAAGTGAGCAGCAGAGGAGAGACCATTGGAGAAGTGAGCAGCAGAGGAGAGACCTGAATACAAAAGAACGCCAACTTACCTTCATTCCCACTTTCAGCTACGAAGGTGCAGGTTTCAAGTCCCTTCAAAGGTTTCCTTCCCACTCACAGCCAGTCTTACCTTATCCATGCACGTGGCCAGGTGCAAGCGCCCTCCCAGAGCGTCCTCACAGCCTCTCAGCGCCATCACCAGCTTCTCCAGCCTCTCCTTACTGCCCACTGCCGCTGCTGCCCTTGCTGCCCCAGGCAAGGCCAGCTGTTCAGCCGGCGGAGCAGAGAGAGAGAGCGCCTGGCGGGGAAGCGAGTGCAGAACCTTCACGGCTACAGGATGCTCATAGGCTGACTGTAACCCCGCCTCCTCCATACTCGCTTCACTCCCCCTGGTGCTCGAGAACCCAGGAGTACTGCCGCTGGTGCCACCGCTGGTGCCACCACTGGCGCCACCGCTGAGGCCACCGCTGCGGTTGCTGCTGCTGGAACCTACGCCGCTGTTGCTGCCTGCGCTGGTCGCTGTGTGAGTGCTGATCGTCACGTCTCCACGAACCACGCCCTGCCACGTATCTCCGAAGTCCCCCGAGCCGAGCTTGTGGGAGAGATGCAGGCGGCAGGCATGCAGCCAGGGGGAGGAGTTGTTAGCACCACGTTCACCAGCACCACGTGCACCAGCACGTGCACCCGCACGCCCCACAGCACGTCCTTCCTGACTCGCCCTGCTGCCACCATGCGCCTCAGGATCCCCCTCATCAGCACGATCACCACTCTTAGCACCACCGCTGCCACTACCAGCAGCACCACTGCCATTACCAGCAGCACCGCTGCCAGCACCGCCCACATAGGAGCTGTTGCTGCCACTGCTCTCCCTGCGATACCTCGCCTCCCTGCTGCCAGCAGGTGTGCCGTACGCACTCGCAGGGCTTTCAGCAGCAGCAGCAGCAGCAGCCGCGGCAGTGTGGTAGGTACTCGCAGGGCTGCTGCTTATTCCAGTACCGGAAGCAGCCGCAGCCACCCCCCTCCTTGCACCACCACCCGTGGGTGGAAAGCCGTGTCCATGCTCGTGCTGTGCGCTGGGTCCCATAGTGCGATCCTCATGCACAGGCGCGTACAGGTGCTCGTGATGCGTGCTGGGCCAGGTCGGCACATGCATCTGCCCATGCCCATGCTCCTGATCAACGCCCTGCCCATGCCCCACGCCATGCTCCTTCCCGTGCTCCTGCCCATGCTGGTGCCCCTGCCCCTGCCCATGCCCATGCCCATGCCCATGCCCATGCCCCTGTCCGTGACCGTGACCATGCTCGTGGTGCAGCTCTACCTCGTCGCCAAACAGCTTCTCCGCAGCACACCCACTCGCCCATGCGCCGTGCGCGTACGGGGCTTCCACTGGAACGAAGCTGTCCTCATCCTCCTCCTCCTCTTGAGACCTCCGCCGTTGCTGCTGCAACGCGCCCTGCTGCTGCTGCATACCCTGCCGCTCCTGCTGCTGCTGCGCTGCTCCTCCTCCTCCCGCGCCCGCCTTCCCAGCAGGTCCGCTCCAGGTCACCCCACTCTCGGCGTAGCGCTTGATCTCCGCCTCAGTGGGCTCCAGGGAACACACCACGGGCGGCACCGGCATGTCCACCAGCATCTCAGACTGCCGGGCAGCCAAAGGACGGGGAGCTGATGGGGCAGGTTTCGCTGCTGCTGACGCATGTTGCTGCTGCTGCTGCTGCTGCTGCTGCTGCTGCTGCTGTGGCGGCTGATCTTCTTGTGCGTGGAAGTACCTGCGGAAGGGCACGTCGACATCAGACAGGCCTGGCACAGGCATGTCCACCAGCATCTCAGGCCGCCGAGCCATGGGCGGCCCAGGCGCTGCTGCAGACCCGGTTCCAGCTGTTGGCTGCTGCTGCTGCTGCTGCTGCTGCTCTTGTTGCTGGGGCAGATGATGATGAGCCAGCAGCGCCGATGCAGAAGGAGCGTTCCCCTGAAGCTGCTCTACATACCCTCCTTCTCCCCCCTCGCTCCCCTCCTCCTCCCACTCGGGGACCTCTCCCCCCCCTATGGCGCCTGCTGCTGCTGCTGCCTGCTCCTTCCTCTGCTTCAACGGGGATCCTTCTTCAATCTGCCCAGGCCGCGCAGATGCGGGGGAGTGTGGCGGCCCAGCTACTGCTGCTCCTCCTGCTGCTGCCGCGTCCTTACTGCTAGCTTTAGGGGTGCCTCTGGGCGTGAGGATGGATCCTGCAGCGGCTGCAGCAGCGGATCGGATGTGGCTCAGGCCGAACGACAGACTTCTCTTGCGGCTCTCCTGCTCCGACTGACCAGCAGGGGTGGCTGACCCACTGCTGCGACTGGGAGAAGCTGAGGCAGCAGGAGAAGGCGCAGGAGCGGGAACAGCTGGAGCAGCGGTGGGAAGGGAGGCGGGATGGACAGAGGAGCTGCCTGCAGACCTGCTTGACGGATTTTCACGGGTCGCAAGCACAGCCTGCTTGAAGGATTCCTCTTTCCCCTCCTCCGCGGTCTCCTTGGGCTGCTTGTCTTTGAAGGCTGCTGTGGAAGATCCGCGCTGCACTGGCTGCACGACGTCTTCCCACGGACTGTCTCCCAGGCTGGACTCTACCGGGCGCGGCACACGCACAGGCGCAGCAGACGCGGCAGATGCAGCAGGGGAATTCGCGGCCGCGATAGACGCCGCGATGGACGCCGCGGCAGTCGGCGCCAAGGTCGCGGCTTGGCCGCCTTCTTCCGTGATGAACTCGCTGGCGACGATCCGACGGCTGCCGCTCACGCTGGAGAGCGGCGATGACGGCGACGGGTTACCAACGCGGCGAGATCCCCTCGCTGCGAGTTCAGGCGTGCCGGGGACTATGTTCGATGCGGGCGAATCGGGCGGAGCTGCTGCGGCCGCTGCTGGATCCGTCGTAACAGGCGGCGCGACGGTGGCGCTCGGAGCGGAAGCAGCGCCACTCTCGTCGCGCGGGTCACCCTTGTGGTGAAGGGTGGGAGCGAAACCGGCTTCCGGGTCAATCTTCATCCGTGAAACAGCGACGCCGCGAAATCCGACGGGATTGCGCGTCAAGATCCCGCCGCGGCGCTTGCGCTCTCAACGCCAGCAGAAATCGACGACGGCAACGGGACGCGCTCGAAGGGAAGCAGAGGCAGCAGCACTCGAACGAGAAACTGGGTTTGGAACTGGGTTTCGGGAGCAGGAGGGTAGAGAATTCCGTGCCGTACTGCGGATGAATGCAAGCGAGCGGAGACGAAAGCGCTGGTTTTATGAAGATAGGCGGAGGAGGCCTTTGGGGAAGAATAGAGAGCTCGCTCGGGTGATGGTGGAGAGAGAGGCGCCGAAGGCTGACGTGACGTGGGCGGGTTCGTTCGCACTCGCATACGACCACGCCGCCGCGATGCTTTGAAGATTTGAGGGTCGCGACGCGTAATACATCGAGGCGCCATGGAAATGCGAGTAGGACCCTGAGTCAGCGAATGCCACGTACGCATTCTGGGTCGCTGAAAGGTCATCTAAAAGCCCGGCGGCGACACGCAAGAATAGTCTACCGTCAGATTCCGCATGCACTTACAGAGAGCATGACAGCTTGCCAGCCAGATTGAGCAAGAAATTGCCCTTTCCGGTTCTCGTTATTAGCTTCCGCAAATCAAGCGTATACGTGCTATTTTCGGTTTCCCAAATGAACCAGCATTGTCTTAAGAATTCAGTACCATCCGCTGCCTAAACACAATGTAGTAAAAAAACGGCACGTACTCTTCCATTAAAAAAAAAAAAAAAAAAAAAAAAAAAAAAAAAAAAAAAAAAAAAAAAAAAAAAAAAAAAAAAAAAAAAACTTTTCACAAGACCTACTGGAAAAACACGTAACTAAGAAGTATCAACGCATGCTCCCGGCTTTGAGAACATCAATCATGTTGAAAAGTGTCTTGCTGGTGTCTCCCTCCTTGATCTGTGCAGAAAAGCAAACATCCATGCAAACACACATACACATGTTAGGATTAGCACAAGATGGTGTACGTTGTGTACGTGCTATTATAAAAGATTGACGAGGCATGGTGCACGGGAGGGGAAATCAAGAATGGCACAATGCATGGTGATAGATGCATGGATGCAAGGGCGCACGACCTTCTGAGCGAGGAAGAGCACGGCATCAATGGCGCCATCGGCATAGATGCTGCGACCACACACGTTGTGCTGGAACTCAAATGACACCCTGCATGTGCACGTGCATGGACATGTGACGAGACAAGTACGGGCGAGAGAGGAAGAGAGAGGGAGGGAGAGGGAGAGAGAGGGAGAGAGAGGGAAAGAGAGAGAAAAAGAGGGAGAGGGGGGGAGAGAGGGGGAAAGAGAGGGGGAGAGAGGGTGATATGCATGGTGAATGGATCGGCCATGACGTGATGCAAGGGACATGCAGGCGAGGAAAATGGAGAAAGCGAAGAATAAGGGGAGCTAACAGGAACGGAATACAAACACTGCCAGGTAAATGCCCTACCCATTTGGACGGGAACTGCTCACAACACTAGGTGCTCGCTCGTTTCCCCCAGCCCTCCCAGCTCCCATCTTCCCCCATCCCTCCCACTCTCTCTTACCCCACTCCCATCGCTCACACCATGCTTTCCTACTCGTCCTCTCTCTCACGTGTTGTCGGGCGAGTCAAGGTGGTAGGTGTGGAAGGCGTGGCCGTTGAGGTAGTTCTCCGGCACGCCCATTCGCGCCATCTGCTCCGATGGGTCGCGCACCATCTCGATCTGCACGCAGGCGCGGACGGAATGGACAGCACGTGGGGAGAGGGGGAGAGAGGAGGTGAGGTGAGGGAGGAAGGGGGGGAAGGGGCACGCCCATGCGCGCCATCTGCTCCGATGGATCGCGCACGATCTTGATCTGCAAGGAGAGGGCAGCACGCAGGGAGAGGGGCTAAGGGGGAGGTGAGGTAAAGGTGGAAAAAGGGGAAGAGATGTGTGTGTATGTGTGTGTGTCAATTTGCATTATGAGTGTGTGAGTGAGTGAGGGTGCGCTGTGTGCGAGTGAGCGAGAGCACGCGTGTGAGTGAGTGTGGGCGTGAATGACCATGTGGATGTGGATGGACGCGAGAGCGTGGATGGGTTGTTGGGCGTGTCAGGAGGCGAAGAAAAAATTGGAAGACGGAAGGAACATACAAGCGGGAAGAGCAGGAGGAAGGGGAGGAGCCAGCGACAGCATAGCATCACGTGTACTGTAGGTGCGACGCGGCTCACCTTGCTGACGTCATAGTCGACCCCGAGCTTCTGGAAGCACCGTACGGCCTCTTTCGCCGTGCCTGACGTGTCCACCTTGGACGACTGGTGCGACTCCACCACCTACATTGCCGCCGTTGCATTCATTCGGATCGCGGAGGGCAACACAGGCACGTCCGGATCAGCGCACAGCAGAGAGCGATGTTACATAGAGTCAGCAGAGGAGCAGAGGGGTGGTGTACGGGGTCAATTCGAGGATACACGCACAGGAGGGAAGCATAGAGACGTTCCCGGGACAGGGTAGGGAAGGAAGAAGGCAGAGGGAAGGAAAGAGGGCGAGGAACGGGAGTCCGAGGGGACTGATCGTCAATGCAGGCTGTGAGGGTTTAAGGACGAAGGGTGCAGAGAAGATGGGGACACGGGGCGTGTGGGAGGGTAAAGGGGATGGAGCAGAGGAAAGGCGGGGAAAAGGGGGTTGGACAGATAAGATGGTGAGTATCTTCGAAACCAAGAAGAGTCGGCCCCACCTTGAGCTTGTACGCGGCGTACGCGCCCGGACACTGCTCCGCGAGTGTCTCGTCTGAGTCGACTCAGAACCTACCTTGAGCTTGTACCCGGCGTACGCGCCCGGGCACTGCTCCGCGAGCGTCTCGAGCGCGGCGAGGAACGCGACGACCTGCTTGCCCATCTGCGGCGCGATCACCGCGTGCAGCCCGCTCGCCTCCACGTCCGCCGCCAGCTTCGCGCGGTCGCCGCCCGTCGTGCCCATCACAAACGGCACGCGGTTCTTGATGTACCACTCCGCGTTGCCTGGCGCGCGCGGGGAGGCAGGGAACAAGGGGAGTGAAGGTAGGAAAGAAGGGGGAGAGAGGGGGGGATCAGAGGGAGAGAGGGAGAACGGCACGCGGTACTTGATGTACCACTCCGCGTTGCCTGGCGCACGGGAGGGGCAGGGGGAAAGAGGGGGGAAAGAGGGTGGAGGGGGGAAGCGGGGAAAGGAGGAGAGAGAGGAAGTGAGTGGGGAAGTGGGGAAGGGAAGCCACCAGGAAGATTCGACGAAAAGGATGGGACGGAATGAAATCGGATGGTTGCGTGCTGCACCAAGCTTGCCTCGCCTTTCAACATCCCTGTGACGATGCTGTTCACTTGCCTAGTCCTATACCTGCCTTTCCTTCCCCATTCTCCCACCAGAACCGTTCCGCATTTTCTCTCCCATTTCCCCGATTCCCATTCCCCTTTCTACCACCCTCCCATTCTCAGCACAGCACCTATCCCACGCCTCCCGCTCCCGCCCCGCGCCGCTCACTGTTAACGGCGGCCGGCAGCGTGTAGTCCACGACGATCAGATCCGGGTAGTCCTTGCGCGCCTCCGCCAGCACCGCGTCGCGCTCGTCGGCGGGGAACACGTCCACGTACACGGACGCGTCGTCGCCGTACGTCAGCCGCTCCTTGGGCAGCCCCGGGCCTGTCAGCCCCAGCGGCACTATCGGCACGCCCGCCGCGATGGCGGACTGCGCCACCGCGCGCCCCATCTTGCCGGGCGCGCCGTTGATCTGCGCCGCGCGGGGGAGGAAGGAGGGGAGCGGGAGGGGAATCGGAGAGGAACAGAGAGGGAGGTTGAGTGGGAGAAGAGAAAGCGAAAACCCCAGGGCATGCGAAAGAGGAGCTTTAGAACGCATCCAGATGGTCACCATAAACGAGGAAAAAAAAAAAAAACATAACAAACAAAAAGAAAGGTTTGTGTTTGCACCACAGAACTTGAGCACGAGCAAAACCGAGAGCAGTAGCAGCAGTGCCTGACTAGCATTAGCTTCCGAGGGTGAATGAGCTTTCATTGCTTTTTTCATTAATGTTTCTCTAGACCTCCTCAGAACATCACTCACCAGTATCGCAACTTTCTTTGCTGATTCCGCCATCGCCACCACTGTCAATGAACCCCTCGACGTAGCAGCGCTTGTTTGCGCCAACGATCGCTGGCGCAGCGGTGCCGCTAGATTTGCGCTGAGGGAATGCTCAGCGCCACTCGCGGCACCGGGACACCGAAGAGAGCAGCGGGGAGAGGGCCGGCTTAAGCGGTTGCGGGAAACAGGAGTTGCTGCAAGAGCTGGACTGACAGCGGCGCGAACAGCGACAGGTGCCATGGTGAGAGGCGGGAGTATAGGGACGAAGTACCGGAGAATGCGGCGAGTATAAGTCAGATGACAACGAGAAACAGAAAATGGATTTTCACATTTGGCTGAATCTCTCTCTGCTAGTCTTGGCTGTGTGTGGGAGGAGAGAGTAGCGGAAGCGCCTTTAACCGTCCTGAAACAAACTGAACCGAACCAAATGATAATGCCACGAGCCCACTTCTGTGAAAGGGGAGCGAGCGACTCGGCGGTCTGCAGGAGCAGTTATGCTGCCGTGGCATGTGATGTGATTTTGGATCGAGTGTGAGACGGAGCTTGCGTGGCGGTGGCACGAGGAGCGGATTTCTTTGGTTTGTTGACACGGCCAGATGTGTAAGATCTAGCCAGTCATTGACGAGCAGTTTCGTCAGGGGCGGAAGTAGCGGAATTAGACCAATCCGCGTCGCTGACGATGAGTTTGTCATTGGTTTGGATAAAGATCGTAGCCGTCAAAACGGCTGACTTCGTACGAGGCTGACCTGGCACCGCATTTTCTTCCGAGTATTGCTGACCGAGATGATGATCTGGATCATGCTTCGTTATTGGTTGACCCTAAGTGAGCCCAAAAACACATTCAACCAGAGTGCAAAAAAGAACCTCAATCGGATGATCACGCGTAGTGTACTGCTTTGATGGTCAGATCCAAAGATAGCCAGGGTCAGCCAAGATCTCAGAGGTCACTTCACTGCAACCATAAGTCCCGACGGTGACATATACGGTAGGTCTTGATTTGGCGGATGCTAATAGAAAAGGCTTCACTAATGACGATTCGTGCCAGCCATGAATAGGTACACCTTCAAAAACAAGCCTAGAAATAGCTAGCAGTAAAGTGCATCGTCAGGAGGTGGTCCGAACAGGTGACCCCAAGAAGGGGGGACACACCAGTGGACAGCGGGAACGCTTGGCCTGTCGTAGTGCATACCTGCAACAGGCAAAAGCAGATCCAGGAAAGGGTTAATGGATAATCAGTCAAGATGAAAGACCCAGCCAGGCGAGCTGTATGTGCGACACAGGCTCACAGCCACATGTCACTACATGGATTCGACAAACACAAGGAGCACAACGAATCTGACTGGCACTTCAGGCATGCTGGTTTAGCGTGAAAGATTTAAAATGAGAAGATTTTCTATTAGAAAGAAAAAAGGGGGGAAGAGAACTTCAACAGTACACAAACAGCCCCACATCAGACACCTACCATCCATGCTTCCAGAAAAATCAGTGATTGGTGGAGCAGAAGATGGGAGTAGGGATGACGGCAGAAGAGCAGTGAGGCGTTCTGCTAGGTGAAAAGCATCTGGCACATTGTCTCCCTCAGAGCAAAACACGAGGAGTGCAATAGAGGGAATGTTGACTTCCTGTGGGAATTGTGGGAAAAGGAAAGTTGAGAGTCATACCATCCTAAAACAGAGTTGCCAACTTCTATTTAGTTTGTGAAAATTGGCAAAGGACATGCACGAGTAGTGATGTATACCACAGCAATTCATCAAATACAGAGCAAGGTAAACGGAAACAGAAAATCACATCCTGTACTCGTCTTACCCTTAGTGCAATGCAGATACGGAGAAAGGCTGCTTTCCACTTTAGTCCTTGCTCAGGCCCCCATTCACCACCCCTCAACGGCCCCGGATCCTCTTCACCTTCTTCCCCTGCCATAACAGCCTCCTCTTGTTCTGGCTCCATGTGACCTTCATTCCCTCTCTCCCCTGTGCTTGTTCCAGAACCATCAGCACCCGTTGGAAGCGAGGAGGAAGCAGAGGGAAGGCCACCAAATGGATCGCAGCTCTCTAGAGGCTTCCAGCCAAGAGATTGAAGGAGGGACGTGCTGAACGATGCAGATTGAGTTGGTTCGGGCGAGGAAGATGAGGGAGGGGAGGCGGGCGCGGGCAGCGACGGGTCTACAAGAAGAAAACGGAACTGATCCCTGTAGAGAAAGAAAGAGAGACAGACGGGGAAGATGCCAGACGAAGTTACACATGCAAGAATGAACAACTTGAATTGAACTACGAAGCACATGATACTTTGAGCTGAAGTATAACATGATGGGGAGTTGCCAGTGGACGAAGAAAGCAAACACATCATCCTAGCACTGATGAGAAGTGGTGACTAGAGCGAAATGGATTTGTCTTGGAAGGGAATGCGGAGATGCAGGACCAACCCATCAATCTGAGGAGCCAGCCTTCGTTGCGCATCTGCTCCAGAAAGAACAACCACTCGGGAAAACGCCTGCGACGCTGCCCAGGTGGCTAGGTTGCGAGAGAATTCCTCCATCCTGCCCTGATGGGTTGGTGGAGACACATAGATGAGAAAGACATTGATGAATGTGGAAGACACAGGAGGAGCCGTGTGATCTGATGGAACAAACATTTACATGGGAGGCGATACAGGAGGAAGAAAGGAGCAAACAAGCGCATGCATTGATAGAGAGCGAAAAAAGAGTGGGAGCGAACTGTTACAAAGTTCAATAGGTGTGTACCAGTGCCACTGGAGACCTTTGTTGTATAATGGTGAAAGCATCGGCGAAAGGAGGAGAGGTGGACTGAGATTTGGGCACTGCATGAATAACTGAGGTACAGTGTAATGAACAGAGGGAAAAAGAACGGCACACAGATGGCAGTGTGTCAAGCGTGAACAGCAGGCTACAGGCTTTCTGGAAGGGATCGAGAATCCGCCTGGTGCTGGCTGGAAGGTATCAAGAGACATGTGTGTCTTGAGAAGGAATCTCGAAAGCAGGTCATTCAGAAAACAGAAAGGAAACACAAGGTGAGTGCATGGTGCCATTGCACACAAACCTTCCATGGCTGTTGTCAAGCTGCCTGGTCCACTGAACCCCATCCCTCCGGCTCCTCTGCCTCCCACGCTATAGGGGTCGTTGCCTGCACATGGCAGCACATTCGGCTCCTCCAGCCAACCCACACGCGCGATGCTATAGCTGCCCTGGCTCTGCTGCTGCTCCTGCTGCTTCTGCTGGTGCTGCTTCTGTAGCAGCGTTTCAAGAAGCAGGTCCACTGTGAGCTGGCCTACGTTCCCCACAGATACTGAAGGCTGGAAAATTGGGATAGGGGACGAAAGGAGCGCAAGTGAAGACTTGGGTAATACGTGAGAGGGACGAACGAAAGTGCGAGAGTTATCAGGCCTAGTAGGTGGCAATGTGGATGGTAGACCAACATGATGGGGGGTTCCTTCCGACCAGAAGGAAGAGCGATGAGCAGACAGTAATTGAATCGACTGTTCATTGACACCATGCAACTCTCAATTATCATCGCGGAAGTGCCAGAATCCGAAGGAAAGAGAATACTTGAGGTTGACAACTAGCGCTCAGCTCCGCATGATACGTACAAAACCTTAAAAAACGAAGCTTTGCCAAGTAATACGCAGGAACCGATGGAGAATTTCCGGCTACGCGACCTATCAGCAGGCTACGAATCACGATGCGAGCCTCTGTGACAAACAATCAGTCCGGTAACGATTACTGAGACACACCTGAATGATCAGCTGAGACGTACCAGAAGGAGCGTAGATCCAGCGAAGGGCCTTGGAGATTCTAGCAAATTAGAGTCTCTCGTCGCATCGCTGGCGTCTCTGAAGAACTCCATTCTGTGACAGAACCCAATTTGCTGGAATCAGAGAAACCTATAATTTTTTGTGAGGGCACAAGACGATCAGCAGCTCCCGAAGTGCCGTCACATACACTTTATAAACACTCTGCATATTTTCTAGTGTGCACGAAGGATTCTCATTTACAGCAGATACCTTTCCGAATCTGCTGCTACACCCATACATTGTGTTTCAAACAAAGTTGATAGAAATTTTGCCCTGCGATTCGGGAATCCAGCCAAGAGATTGCTTCTGTTCCAGCCAACGACAAATTCGAGACCTTCAAAACAGCAAAGCAACTCAGGCTGTGGTGGTCGTTTCTCCATTCAACTTTTGCTGCAGAATAATGCCGACTGGAATTTCGCGTGGCGGGAGGACAATGAGAGAATGGGTATGCCAAGTTCATAACAAATTACGCCGTAGCATGCTTTTTCCTCATCGTTGCAAATGCGCAGGTAATGGATTCAATATTTCCCTCGAGATCCAAGTGTTTCCACAAGACAAACCTGGAAAGTGTGTCCACAGTCTATTCGAATTTGGCTGGCTTTCTCCCTACAGTGTGCTCGCTGGAGGCAGCCGTTGCAAGACTCTTAAAGTCGTTAGACGGTAGGTAAAGCTGTCCGTCAGATTCTTGGTCTTGAGAGGGAAGTCTTAATCACGTTCGATTTCAGGTGTGTTTGAAGTAGCCCTCTCAGGAACCGCTGTCGAGCTGCCCGAGAAGCCAGGAACTGCTGCTGTTTTGAAGGTTACAGAAAATGACAACCATGGACAGTCTATGTCCTCACTGCACGAGGCGTCGGCGCCTAGTGAATCTGATATGGACATGAAGGCATCGTCAAAGCGTTATTTCACTGACCCGTCGCTGTCGTCCAGCATAGAACCCTTGAGACTGCAGCTGGTAAGTGAACTGTCGGCGAAGAAGAACTTATTTTTCAGAATCGATATAATTTATCTTCTGGGTTCTTTTCAGGGTTCCGATTTGTTTCATGCAGCTCTCGTACCTCTGCGGACCTGGAAAAAATCGTTTGGAGCCCTTCCGGTAAGGCTTTAGAGACAAGCGTCAGGAAAAGCAAGAACCTTGTAAATTTTCTCATGCAGACGGAAATACTTTCATGCAGGGGAAGCTCAAGCTGTTGGAAGCTCATGCGTATACCCACGACCTAAACCGTTATCGTCACAACATCCTCGTTCAGAAAAAGTGTTTCTATAAGGGCAGCAAAGCGTCAGAACGAATGCTACTGAGGTTAGAATCGGTAAGTAATTTGTGCTCGCCGGGTATGTGAATGTTGTATTTCTGTTATAATCGTGGTTGCACTGCCTTGCAGAACCTGCAACAATCTGAAATGAAGATGCGTGCCAGCAGAGTGGTGGGTTCTCTGCACGCTATGAACATGCTCACTCAGCCTTAGCGTCCGCTGAAAAATGGGGATGTGGCAGGCCTTTCTTACGCTTGAACGAGGACTCCTTGAAGACATGGAACTTCTTCTGACAGAGGCACGACGAATGCCCTCAATCTTGACTCAGGCGAGTACCTGCACCATACCTACTACCTGCTATTGTGCCAGTCAGCTTAACAGTTCACGCATGTGCAGGTGTGTGGCACAACAAGTGAATCATTGAAGCATCTTGAAGGTCATGGTAATGTGATGGATCAGTTGGAGTCACCAGTAGCCAGCAGATACTGACTACATATCTACTGCATGAAAAACAACTGTCCAGTTCTTCCGAGCTGTGTCCCAGGAATATGCCCCTTCTAATTGAAGTATTCTTACATTTGCCATAGTAGCACAAGTACACTTACCGAAATGAATTGAATGTGATACTGGAGTGTTACGAATAGTGGTTAATGAAAAACACTGCGGCGCACTCCTCACCGTAGCAAAGCCGAAGCACGCACTATCGAGAGTGAAGACGAAAAGGCAGAAGAAAGGCCAAGGGACAGACGTTACGAGGAGCATCTGGACCGTCGGGCAGACAGCATCAGGCAGCAGCAGTGGCGAGGATTCTGCCCGAACAGTTACGTAACCACTCGGAGTCGCACGGTTGCGTGCTTTGACGGCAGATACTTCTATACCTGGAGCTTTGAGCTGGAGCTGCTATTGCAAAACGCGCAGATTTATCATTATTTCGACGGAAGCTACTTGAGGCCTACGGAAGATACTGACGACGCAAAAACCAAGTACTACAACGAGTCCCTGATGGCGTATGGGGTTCTTCTGCGGAACATGTCGCCGACGGAGCAATTGAGCATTCGCTCATACAAGACCTCCCCTGCTCCAGCCCTCAACGCCTGGCGCCACCTGAATGGCGTATACCAACCCAAGGACTCAGTGTCGTCGAGCTACCTCCTCCAGCAGTTACTGGAAACAAGGATGGCACCAGGAGAGAAAGCCAACAGTTACTTGAATCGCTATCGGAGTCTACGCGATCAAATCGCAAAATTGGGGAGCTCGATCTCTGAGGAGATCTTCGTGAACATCGTGCTCCAAGGGCTCGGCCCAGAGTGGCGGCCCTGCAAGGCACTTCTCCGACAGCAGGGGGTCATCTCGGAGGCCGCCCTTTGCGCCGCCCTCCTCGTCGAACAACGGGATATGGACCAGCAGCGACCAGCGCCACGACGAGAGAGAGAACGTCTCGCATTCTACGCAGACAACACGGAAGAGCGACGACCACGGCGCCTCTACTGCAAGATCTGCAGAAATTTCGGGCACCTGGCGGATCGATGCAAGCATCGATCTCGCCCTCGCCAGACCAATCCGAGCACTTGGTCCGGCCGACAAGACGCAAGAAATGACACGCGTCCCGCCCAGGTGTCTCAACCCCCACCAAGCAACCTGAATCCAACAACTCAGCAGCAACAGCAGCCACCACAAGGTGCCCCCGTCCGCAACGTCATGGGGAACATGACCATGACGAGCGGCTCTCGTCGCCCGCGCGCACGCTCACTCTCACCTGAGCCGGCGCCCGACCCAATCGAGGCATCTCCAAACAACAATCCATTCAGCACGCATCATGACTACAGCGACGACGACAACCAGGACTGGAATCTACCAGTCCCGCTGCTTGAGAGCCCTCCACACGTATCTGACATGCGGCCGGCACCGATCGACTGGATCGCGCGCGAACAGTTTTTGAAGGTAGACACTCCACATATCGTCACTCCGCGACTGGCGCTGCTCGCGCGAAACGACAACAGGCGCTACAACAATTGGTACCTGGACAGCTGCTGTGGGCAACATATTGTGGGCTCCGAGCGTTACATATCCAACGCCGTCTCCACTCCCGTCGTCACTTACGTCACAGTGGCGAACAACACGCGGCTGCGCGCAAGCGCGCAAGGTATCGTGGTGCTCAAGGCACGAGAGAGCCGAACGCACATCACACTTAACGACGTGTTGATTGTGCACAACCTGCGCTTTAATTTACTCTCGGCTGCGCAACTCCTGGATTGCGGAGTCATCCTCAGCACCGACCCCGAGACGCGCAACATCCTGCTCCACTTCACGATGCCGAATAAGAAGCGCAAGTAGATCGGGCGGGCGCGCGCCGAGAACGACGTATACGTTCTCGACTTCGACATTCCCGACTGTAGTGGCGATTCGCAGGAATTGATTGACCTTGTCCCCCTGCGCTTCGAACACATTCATCGCCGCGATTGGAAGCACCCTGATGGGCGCCCTTGGGTGCCACACCACTCACACCCCCACGAGCTCGTGCTGCACGACCCCGATCCCGACGGCGTCTGCAGGGACTGCCACACACCAACGTCTTCAACGAGCGCGATCGCTGGCCGTGGCCTTGCCGCCATTCGCGAAATAGAGCGAGACGCACCACCTGAAGAGGGTCTCTCCCAACTGGAGCTGGAAACAGCTACACGGGTCGTATTCGGCACACCGGAACACCCTCTTCCCGGACCCGCATCCCAGCATCTCCAAGGAATGCTCCGCGGCATTGGCGTCGGCACCTTCGACGCGCATGGGAATCCCCGGCCCTACACCAACGAAAGGCGGCAGAGATCTACTCTTACCGGCGCGATTCCAAGAAACGGCTCTCGCCCACGGAAGAAGAGACATTGGTGCAACAAGAAGCCGAGGAGCTTCGGCGGAAGAGCCTCGCCGAGGCACGCGGAACGCTCGCCTGGGAGCAGGACGAGGAAAGCGCCTCCAATGAAGGGGGGTGGGGGAGCGCCGGCGGATGGGGAACGAGCAACACCAGCGGCTGGGGTGTCGCAACCGGCGGATGGGGCGCAGCAACAGGCGCATAAATCGGCGGATGGGGTGCCGCACAAGGCGGCGAGACGAGCGGCTTGGGAGCTTTCCGCGAGGATCAAAGGGGGGAAGAGGAAGAAGAACCTGCGCATGCTAAGGTCGAACCTCCTGTTATTCCTCTCGGACGACCTCCGCGCCGCCCTGCGTTAGTCCCACCGCCGCCTCACATCCCTTCAGGTAGTGACCCCTGGGACACCATTGAATGGGGAAGTGAACCACTCACCCCGCGACGCACTGTCGACGGACCTGCCCCTGAACCACGCGAACCGGCGTTCGTACTTGGCACGATCCCCGGAACCAACATCCCCTACTCCATCATCCGCGACAGAGAATTTCTCGCCCTCATGCTAACGACGGCGAACGAGGAAGAAGAAGAGAACGAGGGAGCAGCGCCTACACCTGCACCGGCACCTGGCGAAGACCCCGCAGCCGCACTAGAGCGCTACATGCGCACATCTGGATTCCGCGCCAATGACGCCATCTGGCATCAGCGCCTAGGTCACCCTTCGCGCGTGACCCTGAAGAACTGCATCGAAGCCGGCGTCTTTGCACCTGGCGCGCTGTTACGCCTTGACGGCTACGAAGTGAGAGGAGGGACTCACCCGCGCAGCTGCACTGTCTACCCCGAAGCTGCGCTGAATCACCAGCCCTTCCCCCTACTCGAGCCAGGAACCAATCGCTACGCCAAGCTAGAGAAGGTTTACGGTGATTTTCTCAACGTAGGACACTGC